AAAAAAAAAATGAGCTGCGGCAATATTGGCGGTGATTTGCTAATATCTTGTTGCCACTGCCAACTAGTTATGTAACTACCAAACGCTAGCAGTGGGAGGGCGAATTTTATGGCGAGCTCAAGAATGCCAATAATGAGCGGCAAGCGTGGCGGTGGAATTTTTTAAAAGTTTCTGCATGTTGTGGTGTTGTGCAAATGTGGGTTTGTGGCTTATAGAGTAATTAATGGTTGTTTTGTTTTTTTTTTTGTTGTCTGTGTGTTGTCTTTGGTTTCTCAAGCTGAGCTAGAAATATTGTGCGCAAGATGCGGTTAGATCTGTGGTAGAAGATTTCTGTTTGCTGGTATTGGTGCTTACTAATTTGCTGATGTATGTATTTTGTAGCAGATTTTTTTATGAATTAAGTAATTATGTTTATTAAATGGATTTTTGCAAAAGAGCGTGAAATTGGGTATCGAAATTTTTTTCGCATTTAATGAGATGATTTATTGGTTATTTTGTTTGTAGTACAGTAAATTTTTTTTGTATTGTAGTCAATTTCTGTTTTTTCGGCACTATGAAACTTGTCACAAAATTGGACTTCAGGAAACTTATTGAACCATATATGTATTTCCTTCGTTGCAACAGTTCTTTCAAACAGTTATGCTGATTGAAAGCTGAGAGGAATACAGCAAATAGGAGCAAGCGTTTGATACAAACTTTCAAATAGATTCATGCAGCTCTCTGGTAGGAATGTATGGTGCCCGTACAAGCTTAAAATATTTTGCGATGCTTTGAATAAAAATACCCACCAAACAATTTGTGTTGCCGGTAATAAGAAAACGTGTCGCCCTCGGAAACAAATTTATTGCCGGTAATATTGCCATCGAATCGATTTCCTATTACTGGTCGCTCTAAAACGTCCGCCGAAGGCAACTCGCCTGGGCGAGTCGTTTTCTTATTACCTGAATGAGTCCTTTTCTTATCGCTTCAGGCGATATTTGGAATAACTTTATTCTTTTTAATACCTCATTTATTTTTTTGTATACCAAATTGCAACTTACAATCGGAATTAATTCATTTTCTCGCTGTGAGACTTCCTATTTTTTCAATCTTGTCCTTGGGCATAATTTAGACGCTTTTGGCCAATACTATTGACGCCATATTCATAAGTTTCGGAATTTTTGAGAACTTTTTTATTCAAAATTGACATGAACGAAGTGATGTTGCCGATTTGTCACCACAGCAATAAATCGGTGAGTCGCCAATTTGTTGCCATTGACGATTGTTGCCTATTTCTCATGTTTTGCATGGTGGGTACTCTTCTTGATATATTAAAATGTAAACAAAAACACACACTCAAATGAAAATTTAGAAGACGTTTGGTATTGCCACTTTATTTAAATGAATCGGTAAAACACATTCATTATAAGGTGTCCACAACTACGATTTATTAAACACCTTCATTATAAGGTGTTCACATTATCCATTCATTAAGACCGATTTATTTTACAGCTCTTACTCAGATTATCGGTCTATGCAACACCATTTTGGAGAGACAAAGCAAGGAGGCTAAGGTCGATGATTTGCAAAAGAAGATAACCGAAAATGTAAGCAGTTTACTCATTTTCGTATAATATTATCAGCCCATAATGAAATAAACATACGGTTAATAAAATTTAAATATTAAACTAAGTTTACATTTTCAAGATTTTTTATGTATACGTTTTTGCGAAAGAGGATTTTGAAGTCCTCAATTCATATTTAAGAAGTCATTTTCGTTTTTCAAAATAAATCTTGATATTTCAGATGCCAGATCGATGCGAGGGGGTGGCTCAGCAAAAAACTCTTCGAGAATGCAAAGTGCTAATCAAAAAGGTGCATCAGTCATTCTGTCGAATAAATGGGGGCGCTGTTACTGAGCTCCAATTGGAAATTTCAGATGTTCTCCCATTAAAAACCATTGACGCATTGTTTGATGTGGAGGAGAAACTGCAAAGCAATGAATATAAAGAGGAAATGGTATGAACGAAATAGAGTTAATTACATTATTTCTATACTCTAGGTGTTCTTATAACGGACCAATAATGTGCGTGTGTTATTTGCAGATATCTTACATATTCACATTGGGCGCTGCGACTGGAAATATTGATGGGACGATAAAAAAAATGTTTTCGGACGAATTGTTAATAAATTTTAATTGGGATGGAAGGTGTGGAAAGAGAG